TGATGTGGACGCCGTTTGTCGAGTATCGATGCATTTGCTCATCTGATGACGATATCCGGCACTTATATTAGTCGGAGATAAATTTCAACGAAACTTGAGTGGAATTAGTGGGATGTGTGTTAAAAATTTTCCAATATTGCATATCCGTAGCGATGCAAAATCTATATTTGTATAAAGAATTATTTTTGATTAATTTATTGCCTCTTTGAAAACGTGCCGTATTTAGCTAACAGTATATATTTAAAGGAAATATTAATTATTTTATAAATGTCATGAAGCTCATTGTTTTTATAAATGCCAAAGACAGACGGAAATGTGAGTGAAAGGAAAACTATTATTTAAAATAGTAATGAAAAATGATTCCTCTTACTGATGGATTAACTTGATTGAAAAAAAATCCAATACAGTCACTAAAAAGTAATTTTCTCAAATTTGAAACGATTACTTGAACTGTATAGTGTATAAATAACTCTAAAACACCAGCTGCTTTTGAAAGCGATACTAACGGAAGCTTACGTATTACAAGAATTTGACGTACTCGCAGCTTCTTACTCATTTTAAGTGACTTTTTAAAAATACCATCAGAGTCCAATGTCAGTTAGATTGAAGTAGTACACATTTTTTAAGAAAATAAATATGTTTGTGAGAATAAAGATTTGTCTGATGGTTATGATCAAACCAATGGTTTTTAATTAAAACTAAAGTTTTACTTAAACGCTGCAAACTTAAAAAAGAAAAAAACAGACGAATCCAATTTCCATAGAATAAAAAAAAAAGAAAGAAAGGAAAAAAAGACAGACCCAATTTAGAAGTCAGTAAATCACATCACGCGCAAGTTTGAGCGCACAAAAGGCAATTCTAATATTTTGATCCAGCTGGTCACAATGACTCAACGCGCCATTGGGCAAACGATTTAACGAACGGTTTTATCCCCCCATCAACAACAACGTGTACACGAAAAAACCCCCCGAAGGTGATGCAAGCAGCAACAAAGCCAGCACCTTTTACGACGACAATTCGTTGCAGCTGCATTAAAGGAGTATAAGAGGGAGAGAGAAGGAGTGAGGGCCAAAAGCATCGAGCGAGAGTAGATTGGCCTCCCTCTCCCTCGCACGAACCAGAGTATAATGTGGTACGGAGCCTAAGCCGCAATATGCTGTTGCAGTCTGGGTATACCTCCGTCTCTCCTCCTCCTTTATAACTCAGCTATCCGAGCAGTTCCACAAAAAATCATTTTTTGGGTTGTGTTGGAAAAACAATTAAAATTAAAGCTTTTTATAAGTATACACTTTCGAAACAATACGTATATGCTGTTCATTTTACCATGCGATGAGTGAGCAAAATTAACGGCCGCTTCAAAAAGCTAATGTGACTTATTTTTTTCCAACGACTTTAAATTTTGAGGAAAAGTATTGGAAAAACTTGGAAAGCCCATTTGTTTAGTAGAAACTGGTTGAAAATGAGGAATACGCAAAACAAAGAGAGCAAGAAGATTTTTCAATCAAGATTTGTTGAGTAAAACAATAGTATCACGATTGAAAGCTACAGGCGATCGAAGCGTACTTGGTTGCCAATTTCTTGTAAAATTTGATAAATCGTTTGTTAATTTTGTTCCTTATAACCTTTTTTTCTATCTTAGTCTTGTTCAGAAGAGATGTGAAGAAAAAAATTGTTATAAAATATGTTAACCAAGTACTCAAATGAAATTTTTTCATTCCAAAAAACGACAAAATTTGAGCAAATTCTTTTAATTTGACCATATTTGGTATAATATTGATGAAAATTCACATATGCGAGGAACAAGTCGTTTGTTTTGTTTCAACGCGCTCATACTACCTTCTATACCTTTTAGATTTACATACACGTATAAATTGTTGTTAACAAAACGTGTCTCTGGAAAAACGATCTTTTTTTCTTACTCGAAACGACATGGAAAAAAAAATTTTTTTTGCATTTTTCGTCATGGTGGAATCGCTCATGTACACGAACAAATCCTCGCAGCACCCAAGACGTACATATATATATCCAGCAAAGCAGTGCGTTGCACTCCCCCTCTGACTTTCTAATTTACTCCGCGATCTTACGTACAACACTCTCGCACATGTATATTCGTTTACGTGCTCGTGCGTGCGACGTAAATGTGTGGGTGATTGTGGGTGAACTACCACATATATATATATACACGTACATACGTGGTATACGTAACGATCGCCGTGATGCAGGGCCAACGAACATAAGATAATGCGGCCACGGGCGCACTCGCGCTACGTTACATGTCGTATCTTGGCGCGTTTTAGTATAAGGGTGCATGTGTATAGGTACGTTATACGTCGAGCCGAGAGATACGAGGCACAACCGATCCCAGAAACCGGTTCTACCGCTCTCTCCTTTTAACTCCGTGTTCTTCTTCTTCTTCTTCTTCTTCTTCTTTCTCTCCCTCTTCCACGCGGATTTCTTTTATTTTTCCTCCTCCTCCTCCTCCTCCCTTCTTTTACCTGAAATTCAAGTACAGCGTTGTAAATAAATATCCTTATACAAAAGGAAGGGAGGAAGAGCACCTTCGAGCCTGTATACCTGTTGGCCTGCCTCCACCGCGTATATGTAGTTAATAAATGCAGCGCCATAACAGCCACGTACGTATACGAGAGAGAGCCTACAAGGCACTATGGTCGTTCTATTTTTGGATGTACCTTGTATATAATATATGTTATATGCACTCGAGATACGGTGCTCTGGTTATTGGCGAGACATCTTTTTACCTCCGTGTATAAATACACACCTTATATAAGTATACGCGCGATGCACGCAATTAAACGGCAGGGATTCATAATTTATTTTGTTGGCTCTCCCTTTACGCGAGATCGACTTGTATTTTTTAAATGCTCGGTACACGTACGTGTATATATATTATATATATACCTACTTTGATGCATATACACTATCGCTTTGTTCGCGTTAATTTATGGATGACCACACTCTTGTACACGGGGGATTTTCATTTATAGCCTTGTACACGCGCGTGATTGAATAATAAAAGACGCCAATAATTTACCCCCGTACGCATCGTATCGTCCATGGGACTTTGACAAAAATAGAATTTTCCCCTTTTCGCTTGTACGCGCGTTGAAAATATAACAAAAAAAAATGAAGTGCACGCCATCGATCGAGTAGCATATATATATATATTGCCAATATCCTCTGATTAACCCACAATACGCCCGCGTGCGTATTAACATAAGCATGAGAGATAGCGCGCGTGAGCCATAAATGCATTAGAATGACTTATTTGAAAAGATAACAATTTTATTTCTCGCGATGGGAAGGAGCTGAGAGCGCGAGGCGGTACAACCCATCTGTTACCCTCGTCCTCGGCTTCCTATCCCCAGTGCAGCAACGTAATCTCCGTGCATAATGGCCCAAGACGGTTTCAACAATAATTTTTCCCTCCTGCATAATGCACGAGCCAACGGGAGTGGTAACATCAGTGGCGGCAGCATACGTGGGTCTGCCAAAGGACACGCGGAGGCGCGCCCCGAGTCGCTTCCGTGCGCGCTAAGTGAAATATAGATCGTAGATAATATTGAATCTTGCGCGGGAGGAGCAGGAGAGAGGATGAGGAGGATGACAATGTTCCCCCTGCGTTGTGCACCAGGTCGGCCGAACGAATGCTATTCGTTCCTGTACGGATTTGCATCAGTTCCAACGTATGTGCCGGATAATTGATTCTCTTACAAAGGAGGATCTGCCTCACAAGAGATGTGATCAGCGACCTGTAACATACTCTCGTGGCTCGTGCGTGGAAAATCCCGATGAGACTTTTCTCGGTGGATGAGTTTTGTAAGTTTACGTATATAATATACGTACAAACACGTGTATGAGAATGTGAACGGGGTGATGGTATAAGAAAAAAAGAATTTTAAGAGATGTAGGGAATCTAGTGGGTGACGGCGAATAAGGAATATGATTTCGTTATTAATTTTTTTACAAGAAGGTTCATCTTATTAAGGTGGGTCTCGAATAACATTTGAAGACTGACGTCGCTGACTGAAAACTCACCACCGACAATCTATGTGTCACTACACAGGCATTCACAAAATCAAGAACTTATAAAAATGAGGATTTTTCATGACATACGACAAAAATGTTTTTTTTTTTTTTTTTCAACCCATAATTTCAATAAGATGAATTGAAGGATAAAATCCATCTATCTAAAGAAATAACGTTTTCTTATGAGATCCATTTATATATGTAAGACTCATTCGTATAATCCTTTGCCTCTTCTCATCCTCCTATTTTTATATTATTTAAGTACATGCCTTTATTGCATTGCAGATAAACCTTTAATGATTCCATTTAATAGGTATGGAAAATTAAATTCCAAGACGCATTTACTTTCATTTTGTAGTAAATCAAATCAAAATAAAACTTAGTGTAATTGTACATCTGTGAACGCAATGAAATGTTAATAAAATCGCAATGAGTTGTAGTCTTAGTCACTTCTTTTTTCTAGGCACAATTACAGAGTTACTATGTTTTATTGTATGTTTCAGAAAAAAAATAAGTTATTTTTTCTGTGCTCTCCACTACTAAAAACTAAATTCTTTCAAACATTAGGTTTGTGATTAACTAAAATAATTTCATAAAGTTATCTTAGTATTTACTGACATTAGACAAAATATAAAAAGTCGTACAGCTATTGTATTTTCATTTCAATATAGCATTGAATACGGGACAAATAAAGTTAAAGATAAAACAAAATCATTTAATTAAAAAAAGATACTTGTATTTCTTTCAAATGTCTGTAAGTATTTAGAAATTATCTAGGCACTGGTAATGTATAAAAATAACTTGAAAAATTTCATATCTACCTAACTTACAGAATGTAACATTAACAGAATAGTTTTTACGGATACATTTTTATAAATAAAAAATACATGCACGAACCATCGAATTTTCAATATTATTTACATTGCTCTGGTAGAGATGCACAAGAACTTATTTTAATTTGCTCCAGAACTTTTGATACAAAATATTATTGGTTTTTGACTTCTTACGACTTTTACTAAAGTGAATATGCTCATAACCACAAAAATTAAACCCAGGGTTATGAAATAGCATCCGTAAATTATAAACTAAAATACAAATAAATTATTATTCAACGGACAAGGAATTGAATGTTAGCGTTTGAAAAAAAAATAATAGAAAATCTTACCTGAGTCGTTATGCTTACTTGCAACCATGTTATAACAACTAATGTCAGGATCGTTTGGATCAATAGAGCAAGAAATGTGTTAATTCCAAAAATAAGTCCGTAACTGTCCTGCGATAAGTGCTTTGCAACTTCGAAACTGCGATAGAAAAATACTTAATAAATATAGTTTTAATTGCATTTTTTACAAGATAGTAAATTTTTTTTTATTACTTGGCAATTGTTATTATCGAATGATATATAACTCCAAAAGCAATGTAAGCTCCATACATGATCCAAATGTTGTGACTGATACAAAGTACGCCTAAAAGTAAGCCACCGATAAGCGAAAATATTGCCAAAATCGGCTCGCCCAACAAGGACCAATTTAAGCGTAGATGTCCAATAACTACCACCATCACGGCACCTGAAGAAAGATGGAAAAAAAAGTTATTACGCATGCGTACGTAAAACCATAGCGGTCTGATGTAGTACTAACTCATTATCGTGTAAGTTGCTTCAATGGCCCCGTTGTAAATGTCATTTTTTTCTGTTTCTTCAGACGACTCGTAATCTCCGGGCAACTTTTCCAGATCCTTAACGTGATTCCACAATAACTGTATGTAGTGCACGACCTGGATGTAACCACAGGTGGCAAAGGCCCACCACAGGGACCACTTGACAACGTGCCTGTTGGTGTATGCTTTGAGGAAATCTGACCAAAGCAGGTAGTAGGCATTACGTAACTTGGCACCAAAGGTTAAAGGTGCTGGTATCGAGGCAACGGAATTCACGGATGGTGATTTATTGTCACTGATGTCTTTGGAACTATCGCCCAGATAAATTGTTGAAATAGATGCAAAAGGAGGCTTAGATCGCTGATTAAAATATATTGACTGACTGACTGACGGCAAAAAACATGCCGATATTGAAGCTAAGGTGCAAGCTGGAACGCAAAGTTTTAACGGTATGAATATGTTTCTTTTTGTTTTAAAATTCATGGGAGTTTGTATCAGTTATAAAAATAAAAAAACATCTCACCTCCAATTGTAAGATAATGCAGCTGTTCGTAATCAAGCAGATTATAAGAGGTAGTCAGTTGAGCAACTACGCCAGCCATGAAACGGCCAAATAAGAATGCACATCTGGTAAAGCCCGTGACCATTTCGTAGCGTATCTTGTCAACTTTGGTGTAAATGTAAGTATAGTAAGCTACTTCAGTTGACAGCATTATTGCAAAAATAATCTGGGCTAATTGTATTTGTAATATTGTTGTGCCAAAGAGGACAATGACATAAGTGACAGCGCCGCAGAGACCACATAGTATAATTGCAGGTTTGTACCTCACCATATCGACTAATAAAAATGCCAATACTAAACATACGAGCCAGAAATATGTTGTCACCGGAAAGATTTCTTGGTTCAACTAAAATATATGAGTTGTTGAATGAGTTAAGACCTACATTTTCAATACTCTGCACATACAAGTAACAAGGGACCAAAAATTTATTCGTAAGACTCCATGATTTTTCATATGAGATACAACTGATACGTTTATCATTACAGTGATAATAATGTGGTAACATATATAAATAATAATAATAAATTATGATTATTTTTTGAAGTTAGGATGAGCTTAAAGCTTTTGAATTAGAAAAATATATTCCGGATTATTGTTTCTTCAAATTCAATTAATACGATTTTACTGACTTGGTATTAAGGGACCGAATCGGTCTTAGTGATAGAAAGAATATGACACTACAAACCGATATTATAATGGAATTAACTTTTCATTATAAACACTTGCGAATATAAAAAACTGTTTTTTTTTAAATTGCTTTCTAAATTGTAAATCATTTATGTTTATGTAGAAATTATTATTAACTAGAAGTACATAACGTAAATAAATGGCTATATTAGGCTGAACAAATAAAGTTTGGATTGGCGAAGTTTTCATGTTTTAAGGTAGTTCTTCACCTAACCCATTTAAATAAACTTACAGAGAAACTTGGAGGGATTGTTATTAAAGTTATAAGGCATCTTCTCTTAAAATTTCAAGTCCCTTTATCAGGCAAATTTTTGAAAACAAGTCAGTCAAAAAATGCACTTTTAACATGTATTCTTATGTAGGTTACTTTTCCATACTACGATATCATGTAATATCTCGTAAAGTAGACTTACGATCGTAATAGAAAAAGTTTGTAGTGAAAGAAGAACTTTTCAGCTTTCTAATAATATAACAAAAGTATGGGCTAATCAGGGAAATAGTATACGATATTTAATCGTAAACGTAATCAGTTATCAATCATGCAGAAATCGGCGGCAACGTCTGCTTGAGTAGGAGCGTACATGCCATTTTCAAAACCTTGCGTCAAAAAAAAATTTTTTCATAACTCTTACTATGACTTTATTAGCACGTTTATTTGTATGTAAATGCAATGATATTATAGTCAAGTGCCAGTACAACATATTTTATGTTGCAAATAATACGCTAATCGAAAATTAGAAAACCATAGGGTCCCGTGTCGCTTTGATACGGCACCATCGTGAAGAACCACCTTAACTACGTGAATTTTCAAAAACTGGTCACACAACACATGTAAGTTAAAGTCTTTATCCTTTTTACGGTATTAAATATACATAATTTACTGTCAAAAAACTCATTATGCTACAGTGGGCATTCTTATGAAGATAGTTACAATCGCTTATCGTAGAAAATTATTTATGGCAAGGTGACCCGTATTATACAAATCGATTTCTTTTCAAACCTCATCCTTTGAATTATTTCTTCGTTGTCTAAAGTAACAATTTTTAATTTACAAAACCCAATATTTATGAACTAACCATTGCCATAAACCTAAATTTAATGAAACAAAAAAAAAGAAAAAAAACACTTTGTAGCGTAAACTATAGGTATGTGCTTTACCTTACACTATAAATGAAATATCCTTAACTTTATAATACAATTTTTTTAATGTTCCACATTAATACCATAGATTAAAAAATTTATAAACTTTTATTATTATTTGTTTTTGATCAAAAAAATATTGGCTAAAGAAATATTCTTTTAATCTGAGTAAGGTTATTCGAAGTAGTAAGTATTACGGTGTATCGAGTTAAAAATAATTTCGTAAAACGATGAAAGAAAATTTTACCATACGAATTTATTTTCTTTATTAAATTTCTAGATTCATGAGGTTACGTTTCATCTTCACTAAAAGGAAGCTAACAAAATATGAGGTTGAAAAATAACGATTACTCTAATGTGTACAATTTATTTTGAAGCATAATGTACTGAAAGCTTTACCAAAAATCAACTCTCTAGATACAAAGTAGTAAAAAAACACTATTTCAAAGTTTAAACCGTGTACGGAGAGTTGGAGTCAGAAAAAAACCCGAGAATAATATTCTAAGTCACTTGGGAGAGTATCACCACGTGCAGAGCAGAAACATTAATATTCAAGACATTTGCTATTAGAATAAAAAACACACTATTGACTTACTTGTGTGTCCGTGAAGTTTTTCCAGTGACCCTTATAATATTTGATGATAAACGACTCACTGGGCCGAAACTCTTTGAAAGCGCCAAAAAGGCATAGTATAAATGTGATGGTATACCACTCCATCTTGCTATCGGGAATATTAATGCCAAGTCGCACTGGTATTTATATGAACACTTATTAAATGAGACGCGTTTGAAGTGCTCGACGTTTGTGCTTATAATGTGCTTATCGTCGGACGCATTTGAAAATAAAACGCGACAACTCATTTTCAAGTATAGGTTTGACTCACAATAATTCACACACTATTCCAGTAGTGGCCATTATGACGATTGCTGCATTTCATGATGACAAATGTTATTTGTTATCTCGGTTAGTATTAAAAATAGCTCTTGCATGTGGGGGTTGGGTTAGTTTTGAAAAATTCAAGCACTGGAACACATTACTAAAATATTTTCGAAAAGGTTGGGTTCAAATAAAAGGCTGGAATAAGTTGAAAACAAAAAATTACTGGACATTTTTAATTTAATTTCATAGAGTTTGTTTCCTTTAGAAAACAGAAAAAAAGTGACTTTCCATACAATACATATCCATGAGTTTTCCACTTTAAATTTAGGCTACATTAAAATTTAGTGGTTCCTGTTTCAATGGATGTCGATGTTGTTGAAATATTTGTAGACATAATTTTTTTCATTTGATCTAAATACATTAAATTGTAACAAAGCTTTGAATGCCTTGACCTTGATGGACTTAATTAAAGAAAATTATCTTATCTTAATGACTCCTGTACCACAATAACTATCACGAGATTAGCACTCTATCAGAATTAAAATAGCATTTGTATTGGTCCCGCTTGATTTTCAGAGTAAGTACCATCTTACGGCACCGTAATTTTAAAATCTGTAAAGTTTAGAAATTCAGAGAATAACAATGAAACTTACATTTTGAAACATAAATTACTTCATTAAAATTTTCTTGGAGAACTTCTGTAGTTTTTTTCTAGTTATAGTTATAGAGTAAATTAAAGAACCAAAATATTAGCTATAGCGCATAACACAAGTAATAATTTATATACGTTTTACGTACATTAAATGTATCAAAATGATATCGAAAATTGTACTGAACAATTGATTGTTCTCCCACTTCACGAACCCCTTTTTGACTCACATGAAACTGTCGGCACGATAAACTTGATTACCCCTTCGGAATCAACACGATGCAATGAATCTTGTACTCCCGAGTGAAAAATAAAAAAAAGCCCTCAATATCGGCGGTAATTAAAACGTCGAAAGCAGATGCAAAAGGTCTCAATGGCAACAGTGTAGTGTGCGTACACGTATACACTCGCAGGGAGAAACAAACATGTGTGGGGGTGGACGATGAATAGAAAGGAAAAAAAGCACAAGGTTTTCAAGCCCTATTTTAACGCAACACCCCAGCCACCCTTCCCAACGAAATCCCGCTTTTTTTTCAGTTGGCCTCGTCAGAGCGCACAACTTCCGGCCTCGTGTCACACCCATCCACAGTTTAGACGAGAGAGCAGAGAAAACCACGGGCGTTTTGTTACAACAGCGCATGCGGCACGCAGATGTGTGTACAGGCAGCCGGCTTTTCGATGGTACAAACGATGTCTGCTCTTTTTTTACTGTTCACAGTTCTAGCTCTTTTTCTCTCGGATGTATCATCAGTCAAAGGCTTTTAATCACAAAATACCTCTTTGTCGTGCAAAGGGACTTGAACGTTTGCTCATTTCAACAGTCGATCGCTGCTCGGTTTATTTATGTCGCTGTCATTTTATTTTTACACAAGACTAGCTCCCGATTTGTGTCTTATTGATTTAGTCATGTTGTTACCCCTTGATAGCTTGTATATTTATGAATGCCTTGCTGTCGACTGCATGGATTACGCAAAATGTTTGAATGATGCAGGTGTTTTACTCAACCGGTTGGAAAATCGTTTCAACAAAAGTGACATGTGATTGATACCATGATAATAATATGCAGGGTAATGATTTTCAAACAAAACTTGTCCATACAAATTTTATAAAGTTTCTCCAACATCAATTACAGTTTTAATATCGCTTTACCGATACACATCGTATGCCGTGGCAAAGTTTTAAGAGGCCAGTCTTAAAAAAATCTGTTTTAGCATTTAGATCCTTTAAACGCGAAGAAAAGTGACAATTGACAGAAAAAGTTTAGTACAGGCGCTTTATTCTGTATACTGTTCAGGATCGGTGCCAACAAAGAATTGGTTGCAGTGAATGCCGCCAAAATACAACTAACTCTGCGAATAGTTGTACCTCTTGGACCGTGAAAAGCTTCTTATTTTACGTGTACCCACATATATTCTATATACTTAGGTATCAAAATGTTTTCATTGCACAGGATATGTAGAACATATCGTAGGAAAAAAGGGACGTTATCCAAAACTATTTTTTTCCTTTTGAAAGTTGCCGAGTAAGTATAGTAAATTGGCATAACCAACGATCACCGTAAAGTTCAATATTCATAAAAAAAGGCCATAAGCTACTCTGGCGCTGCAACCTCGCGTAAATTATAACAAACGAACCTCAGTTTCTTCCCTATCCACTTATAAGCTGTTGCTGATGCACCTTAAATTAAGCGAAGTAAGCAATAACGGGAGAGACCGTACACATGTATAAAAACTTTTCCAGCTGAATGGCGCGCATGCACACGTCGCTACGATTTTTTGTACTACTATTGTTATTACATTTTTTTTTTCCATCCATCCAGCTTTAAGCTGTACACCCTTACACACGGGCGTTCGATTTTCCTCGCTCGCGCGCACGTACGCGCCGCATAAATATCGGCACTGCCGGTCTAATTAGCCGAGCTGTTCTTTCTTTGTCCCTCTTTCTCTTTTATTTTCCCTCTCCGCGTGTGCTAACCACGTGCCACCGCAGTTGGTACGACGCCACATATATATATACGCTGCCAGCTACTGCTGCCACCGACTCGTAAATCTATAAGTCGCCGGCTCCACCCTCGCGCCGTTAGACGTATATATACGTATGTGCCTCCTGTACAGTCCGGCTTAATCTTCGCTTTTTACTCGATCGTTATCGAAGCCTCCTTCCCTCTCGCTCTTTCTCTGTATACGATCACCGTTTCATTGGCGCTTTTCCCTTTTTGCCCGCTCGGTATACTTTTATCTCCCCACGGCTCGTACGGCTCCTTTATTTTTCCAAGACAAAGCTTTCGATTTAACTCGAGTTTGTGTTTTGGAGTTGAATCCAATCATGAACCTCTTTTGTCATTGAAAAANAAAAAAAAAAAAAAAAAAAAAAAAAAAAAAAAAAAAAAAAAAAAAAAAAAAAAAAAAAGAATTATACGTTGCAAAATCATAAACACGTTGTAAAAAAAGACACAAATGAACTTGGCACTCGTGCAAAAGTTTTCTCTCGACAGAGATGTTTGGAAAAAGAAAGCCCCCCAATGAAATCCCATGGCAATGAATATTGAGATGTGCTCTGCGAAAACACCGGGAGTTTATATCATCAGCAGCCGACCAGAGGAAAAAAAAAAGTTTGTGCGCGCAAACACACACGAGGGAGGTCGTGGGCGGGCGTATATATGTGCGCCAAACTCTCTGAAAACAAGCGAGCTTGGTTATTTTCACGCAACTGTAAGCGGAAGCACATAGGAAGCCCGTGAAAAGTCGAAGCACACGGTACACGTAGTATTCTCGCCGAGGAAAAATGAGAACAGTGTACAGGTATGGGTGTGAAAGGGGTAAAGAAAAGGAAAAAACGGTGCCTCCTCGTAAAGAAATTTGCTCCACGCGCGTCTATTTGCCTTCATTTATTTCTTCCCTCTATTTTCGGCGTTGCAGATTTACGAGCCCATCCGATAAACAAATACCGAACCGTCGCGCTCCTTTATACGGTAATTTCGAGTGCACCTATATATATATACACCCCGTACGTGTAAGCTGCACAGACGCGTGTGTTTGTTTTCACTAAGCGTTGGTGGGCACATAAATACGTGATATATGAACTAGCCACCGGTAGGTACATATATAACCCCACGCCCGTGTATTATACGAGCAGGCGTCGGGCGTAAATGTTTCTCTTTCGTGAGCCGACCGACCGCGTATGTACAATATTCGGGATTTCTACGACTCCATATCTAGAAGCCATCCCAACGCGGTGCAGTAGACATGTGTGGGTGTCCATAAAGGAGGCTGGAGGATCAACACACGAGGGTACTGAGGAGCCCTCAAAACCATACAGAAGTATGTAAGGGGGGGCGAGTGGGAAATCAAGCAAAAGCTCAGGATTACGCGCGTGTGAATAATTCACGGCTCGAGTTTATCGCTCGGAGGCAGACAAACAGACAGGCGCCTCCCCTCGTCCGTTTGACGTCCTTATATGGGTACTTGTACCATTTTAATCGTCCGTCGAGGCGCGCACGAGTCCTTTGTATACATATATACGTACACCCGTGTCCACTTGGAAGATTCGCTTTAATTTATTTCAATGGAGGACGGCCGACGAGTCGTTTTTAATTAGATTCGCACTGACTTCTTTGGGGGGCCGGTGATATCTTTCTCGAGTGCGCGACGTTGTTGTGTATGATGTATACGTATGACGTTTCATTGCGAATCAACGAGTGCGCCGCTCGGGAAGAGAAACACTCAACCGAGTTAACTGTCCCGAATTGTTTGTATAGACGTGTGAGGAAATCGAGACGGTTTTCACTGGGAAAGACAGCTTGTTGCACTGTAAAGTGCTCCAAATCTTCGTTAATTATTACTTTTTAATGAGATGTAAGAGAGGTGTAAATGATTTTTTTTTTTTTTTTTTTTTAATGTAATAAATTGCTGATCTAGTTGTTCTAGTTAGTCGTGCATACGTTGATAAATTATGAATTCAGTCGATAAATCAATCATTTTGTTCAACTTCATAGCCTGAGTAAAAATTTCTTTCGGATCGCACGATAATTCAAAAACTACTTGCTCAACTTTGCCACAAAAATTACAAAAATGATGATGATTTCATGATTTAATATTATTTGTCCGCTTTTTTTTTGTACCAAGCGAGTAATTTTAAATAAAAACATTATGTAAAGTCGCCTTAAAAAGTATGAAACAGTTGGTTGTTT